TTCCTGGGGTTCGTTAACTATGTGCGCCACTTTATCCAAAAAATGGCGGAGTCAATAGCTCCGTTAACCGATTTGCTGCAAAAGGGAGTTTTTTATGAGTGGGGGGAGAGGCAGCAAGCTGCGTTTGTCCAACTGAAAACTTTCCTCATGAGACCACCTGTTCTTCGTATCGCCGACCCTGTCCGCCCATACGAACTGGTTATGGAGACCAGCGACACCGCCGCTGGCACGATACTGTTAAAGGACTTTGGCGAAGGCCTGCAGCCAATCGCCAACGACTCGCGAAAACTCCAAGGCGCTGAACGGAATCACCCGGTTCACGACAAGGAAATGCTCGCGATCGTCAATGCTTTCAAGAGCTGGCGCTGCTACTTATCTGGTGCCGATGTTACTGTTCGAACATACCACAATTCCCTCCAGTTCCTCCGAGCCCAACCGACCCTCAATTCACAAAAGATTCGTTGGCTCGAATATCTCGAGTCCAACTTCCACTGACGCATCACCTACAAGAAGGGGCAAATAATATTGCCGATGCCCTTTCCCGCCCTACTGCCCATACAGCCGCCGTACTAATTGCCCAAGCTAACCCACTGCTAACTGGACTGTTTACCCACGGCTACAATACTGATCCTCTCTTCACCTCTAACAGCCACTTGGCCCTGACCACTCAACGAGGCCACTACCACCTAAAAGCTGGTACTGACCGAATTTGGGTTCCATCATACCGACTATTACAGGAATTACTGATACAGGAGGTTCATGACGCTAATTGCTCACGACATTTCGGGGTTGATAAAACCTTGAAAATGCTCCAACGTCTTTATTACTGGCCGAATGTGAGCCACAACGTGCGGAAATATGTGGCCTCATGTACCACCTGCCAACTGATGAAATCCTCTCGCTAGAAGCCAGTTGGATTACTGCAACCGTTAGAACCGTCCACCAAGCCCTGGACACACGTGTCCATGGACTTCGTGATAGGACTGCCGGCCGGCGCATCCCAAAATGATGTTGTACTTGTGGTCGTTGATCGACTCACAAAAATGGCTCATTTCGCGCCATGCCGAACGACGATCACAGCCGAGCAAACTGCCAAGCTATTCATCTCAACCGTCGTTCGCACGTATGGAATCCCGAAGGCGATCGTGAGCGATCGTGACCCCCGATTCACGTCCAACTTCTGGACAAAAATGTGGGAACAGTACGGTACACGTCTCCATTTGTCCACGGCTTACCACCCACAGACCGACGGTCAGACTGAACGGACAAATCAGACCATGGAGCAGCTGATATGGACAACCTGTACCGAACCGACCCAATGGGAAGATTCCCTTCCCCTGATCAAGTTCGCGCATAACAACGCCCCTTCGTCGTCAATGACTCTACCCTTCGATCAGGCCTGTCCCTGAGCGAACCACCGAACCACAGCAGACCCTCTCCCACCGAATCTGCCGAGACCAAGGTCAACGGGTTTTGGAAATTCTGGTTCGATGGGTCGACCGTACATGTGACGACGACATGTTGGTCCTAGATGCTACCCTCGACAATCACCCATTGGTGCAGGCCTATTTACACGATCGGGCTGCTCCAAATGTGGGTAGTCTCGTCTAGGAGGGGGGAAGGTGTAAGGAAAATCCATTTTTCCTTATTGAGCCCCACTAATATCGAGCACAGCCTTGACTTCCGGAAGTCCAGGCTCGGCCCGACAATTCAGGTTCAAACTACGTTCGAGACCCCAAGCCTACACGCGGCGTCGCGTCCGACACTTCCAAGTCCCGAGGCGCCCCAAACCACCTCGCGTGTGTTTCGTGGCCTTTCTCGAGGCTCTCTTGCTAGAATAGCAGTGCTTGTATTTAGCCTTGTGCTTCATTGTACTCGACACACTTTAATCACTGCCTCACTATTGCATTACTCGACTCCTATCCGGAGATTATCATAACAAATCGGCTCTCACCAGTTCTGCGTTGGTTGGCACATTCAGGGCAGGTACAAATAGTTCTCACACGATTCATGTAAGGAATTACAATTCCTTACTGCGCTAAATTACAACGCGTACACCTGAAGACCTCGACCTCACATCTGGAGATATCCATCAGATCGACCTTGACATTTTTGCCACCGACATTGCTGACTCGCGATAATCGCCCAACGGTCAAGACATCTCTCGACCAATTTCAGCCGTCGGATTTGCGCCCAAGACTCGTCAGGACGGCGTAATCATTACGCTCGTCAGAAGATTTCAAGACCTAGAGTCACACTCGAGATTGGATTATTAATCCATCGGATTATCGCCTCTAGTGTAGGGAGGGCTTATTTAGAAGGTGGGAGAGTGTAAGGAATTACAGTTCCTTACTGCGCTAAATTACAGCGCGTACACTCGAAGACCTCGACCTCGCAGGTTCGGCCTCGATTGTCGGCCCAAACCTCTACGGCGATAAGCTCCAAACGTGGGTAGGTTCGGCAATGTGGCGACAGGGCCGGACGCGACTCGGGCAAGGATTGGGCCGACAAATGAGGTCGAAAGTGACGAGTCGAGGAGTTAGGGTGTGCGCGCTAGCGTACGACTGAGTAAGGAATGGAAATTCCTTACACCAACACATTTGAGGATACATGAACCCCAACGTGAGCCGAAGAAAGGTGGGTGTACGATTCGAGGGAAGGGGGACGGGTGTGGTGCAAGAGGAATTCGCCAACCTGTGCTTAGCGAACAGAATGCGGCCTTGCGTGGGGCGCGTCAAGCCCACGCCTCCTTATGATTGGATTCCGCTCTGCGAAAAAGCCGAGCTTCGTAGGCGGGGCGTTTGGGTAACAGAGTTCTAGGGAGGCATTTCGAAATGTTTTCTGCACCCCATCAATTTGCTTCCCGCTTCTGTTTTTGGAGGCCAGTGGGGACGCGTTTCGGGGAAATGCGTTTCTGGGGTCGATTTCAGTTTCTGTTCCCGAGTTCGTAATATCGTGTCTAGAACCCCCAACTGAAGTATTTGGGCGACCCTCAGGAATGCGGGAAGGGTGTGCAAGGGATGTGTGCGCCTGTGAAGGAGCTAGTGGGGGTTTGGAAGGGATGTCTCTGCCTGGAAGGGCGAAAATTATGGGTGGCGAGGGTGTAGGTCGAATGTTTCTGACTGTTGGTGGCGAAGATTGTGTGTTGCGAGGGATGTGGGAGTGATGTCTCTGGCTGTGATGGACTTCGCCGAAATTTGCTCGTCGGGGTGGGAGGGGGAGGAATATATGTCTGTAAATGACTTTTTTTTGTTTTTTTTTTTTGGGCCCGAGAGGGAGAACATCGAATTCAAGGTGGGAGTGGGGGTGGTGGTATGTGAGGAGGAGAAAGGGAGGGAGGTGACGGGGGGGGGGGGGGGGAGTATTCAGTGGCTGGATCGTCCGGAACGCTCCGTTCGAGAAATCTGTTTCGTCCGGAAAACCCCCGTCACACACTTGTATAGATTCCAGATTCCCTGAGAGGACTACCCGTTCAATTTCCGGAATCAATTCGAAAGTTTCTCTTAATATTTTATTTATTCTGAACAATTACCCTTGAAATGTCGGCCCTGGTACGGGGGCAGGGAGCCCCATAGCTGTTGCATCATTTTCCCACATCATCGCCACACACGCATATTTATTGGAGCCTGACGCTTCTGGTTGGTTCCCGCGTTGCTCAGGCAAAATGCGCATGCATACAGTTTTACCCTCGAGAGGTCCGGGCGGTTCGCGGATGCCGGAGACTCCCTGGCAAATGAGGACTAGACCCAAACCAACAGAGCATGCCAGCCGGTCCTAAACCCCAGAGCAGACTGGGCTCTGTCGAATCGAAGGCATGCACTGCTCTGGGGACAGGCATGCGACATGAATCCTGGTCGGAGTCGAATGCGGAGCAATGCGTGCGTACCCCTGCGGCAATCTATTGACACAGGAAAATGGCATCACAATGGGACAGTACGACTGCTTGCTCGCTGATGGGATGGTGTGACGTGACACCACCTCATGTGTCCAGGGACTTCGCAGGCACAGGGCAACAGTTTCTACGCACGAGCCTCCGCCAACGAGACCAGATTGGCTGGTTGCGACTGCAACTGGGACTGCGACTGCGACTACGACTGCGACTGCGACTGCTACTGCGACTGCTGTTGCTACTGCGACTGCGGTTGCTACTGCGACAGAGACTGCAGCTGTAGGCACACAGTCTGTGCAGCCTGCGTGGCAGGTATTTTCAAGCCTACATTCTTGCCGGCCACCTGTTACAAGTCATTTGCCTTGCAGGCTTGTGCCTTTGATGCATCGTAGTACTCTACAAGTAATTTATCCTTATAAACGGCTCCTTGTAAGCACCGTACACCTGTGTCATGTCAACAGTTGTCATTACGGTCGATTCATTTAATGTTTCGACCGCCAATCAGCATGCTGGTGCGATTTGAAACGACGAGTTTCAATGGTGGGCGAGCTGAGACTTTTAGTTTGTGTCAAATTCGCCAACCAATGCGCGGTGCCGGATCCACCTCATTGGGAGGAGATTCGGTGGACCACTAGCCCAGCCAGTTATGGGCCTCCACGCCTGGCGCACAAAATCCTATTGAAATATCTCTACAGAACTCTGTGTTGTCACCCGATTGTAGTCGGGGGCGTGTTGTTTCCAGTTGCTCAACTTAGCCAAGTTGCGCAACAAAGTACAGTTACTATCTTGGTGAATTTTCGTGTAGACAGAAACGCAAACATCGGCTCGTCCTTGTTCATGATAGAGCGCGATGAGTTTGTGAGAACATATGAACCCTGAGAAGACACGCGTGCGACCAGGTGCGCGACACATGATCGCAGCATACGCCAACACCGCCGACCATGAACAGTTCATAAAACCCCTGTCAATTTAGTCCCGTCTGCCCGTAGCGTACTGCCATTATTCCATGTAAGGGAACTGTCTCCGGTCGCGCCGCGGGTCTCAGGGGAATATGACTGTACAAGACTGGGCTTTTCTACTCCCACAGGCCATGGATGTCATGACTCATGACAACCTGACGAGATCATGTCAGCCATGGAAGCATTCAGGGCAGGGAGATTCAGGGGAGTATACAGTTCTGGGCAGTTGTATGTCGCGCCGGTGGGATTGCAATGTGTGGACGGAAGGGCTCGGAGTTTTCCTTCCCATCAGCCTGAACCTGAAGGTGGACTCGATCTGACGAGGTTACACGGTCCGCTATCTCGGAAGTAGGCTGGCTGGTCGTGTGCACCGCGGTGCGTGGTACCGTTCTGTACCGTTCTCCCTTCCTTTCCAGAATTCTCTTGTTGACGAGGCCCGTGGTTCGTGCGCAGCTATGGCGGTTACAGATATGGATGCGATGGCTGCCATAGTGCGGCATCCATCGAAGGATGGTCTGTGCTTAGGAACGCCGCGCATCGCTGGCGCTTGGCATCCATGATGCAAGGACCGATCGACTGACTGGTGATGGACCAGTCCTGGGAAACCAGTCTATCACAATGTACTGTAGGACTGGGAGCCGCATGGTGTGGGTGCTGCCGCATGGCCATGACTGATGACGACCTGTCCATGACTCATGACTCATGACTCAGGTTGAACCTGGAGGCAGCATCATGCTCATAGCCTGATGCCATGCCATCCCTTCACACACACACAATCCGTCCAAATGTCAGAAGAACCATTAGCCCTTACATAATTGCCCCTAACATCCCTTTCTTGCCAGAACGTCTGGTATCACAGCATGAGCTCTTATTACATCACGGCCTAGCCTCAGCTAGAGCTCTCACCCTTCACCCCCTTGTACGAACCACGCCCTTACGATGTCGCCCTTGACTCTTGTATCATTCTAGGCCCGCCTGGAGCAGATTCCACGCTCTACGCCACGCCCTTCCCGTTCCCTCTAGTAGTTCCCCCCTAGTATTCACTTCTTTCCTACTCTGAGTTGTCTCAGCTGCATCTAGCAGGCGGAACCAGAGCCTAGTACTAGTCCGACTCCAGCTGCCGTTCGTTCAGCTGCCTTCTTTTGACTGAGCTCCACGCTGCACGCAACCGTTGCTCGTGACGAGCAACTGTCTCGCCGGCGCTACAATCTGAAGCGCCATTTATTCCTCGGCGACTCGCTACGGGTCCGAATCGGAGCTTCGGCTGACAAGCTCAAGAAGCTGCTCGAACGACTCAGAAAGATTCTCCGATTCCGGCGATTCGTTTCATTCGGCCAAAATTCAGGAGATGATGGGTCAGGCGCGATGCGATGATGACAAGCCACGGCCTCGCAGGAATCATGATGGTTCCTCTGACATCAGCAGCAGCATCCATCAGCAGCTTGCCACGTCACGGCCGAATCACGCTGCTGTTACGCCCCGGGCCATGTCAAGCCATTCACTCGCAAGCCCTCCGTCAACACATCGACTTCCCCAAGATTGCGGTACTACTACTACCCTCAACGCCGCCTTGAAGCAGCGAAACTTCCATTCCGGCGACGATACTAATACCCAAGATTCCACCACTGAAGCCTCGGCGGCATCAAGCCGCGTCTCCTGCTGGTGCGTCTACCCGACGAGATCCAACGCGTACTGGCGCAAGTCGCTGCAAGCAGGGGACGATGGCGCCGACGTCGCAGGTGGTCCTAAAACGTGTGCGTGCTCGGACGCGGCTCGCGCGTGCGACCCCGATTGGGTGGACGACGCGCGGTCGCGCATTCGTCGCGCCGCGCTGGAGGTAATCGAGGCGCATAAGAAATTCCAGGAGCACGACAGGAGGGTAAGTAGGGCGGAGCATGAATCGCGGCTCAGAAGGCTAACCTACTCTGACGAAGCTGCCAGCTCCAGTGGAGACGCTACTACTGTGTCGGGATCTATCCGCGATAGTAGCATTTGTTCGTGGAGCAAAACTAGCAGCAGAGCGAGCAGCAGACCCAGCAGCAGAGCAAGCAGCAGAATGAGCAGCAGAGCGAGCAGCAGGAGCAGCGACTGGCCAGATTTTCCAGCACTGGAGTTCTACCAAGCAACAGAGCAGAACGACGGAAATTCACTAACAGAACGAAACAATAACAGAGATTGTAGTAACAGTAAGGTCTGTCGAGGAAGAAGGCGGCTAGTGGGGACTGCTCGATGGCTGTCCGAAATGGTTTCTGCTAGCTTCACCATGCCGAAACTCGCCTAGGGGGTAGTTGAGGGGAGGCACACGAGATGAAACCGAAGTACTTACGTGTAAAATATGACTGAATGTATATGCATGCACCTTAGCATTTTCATCACTAATTTGTTCTTTATGTTCGGTCAGGAAAACACTTTTCCTTGGTGTGCATTCCATGCAATAGAGTTTACTGCCATTGCCAAAGGCCCTGGATGATCACCCTTTAATTCGCCCGTTGCATGTTTCGTCGACACACCTCACATCAGCGCTGTCGGTCAGGTCACTCGTTGGAATAAGCCCGCACTCTGAACCCTTGCGTTATCCAACTACACCCCGAAGGTGGATAAGACTTGGGTGTTAACGTAGAAACGAATAATGACTAAAGTGGAAACCTAGAACAAATACTAGTTGGTTGTACTCACTAGAAGCATACCTCAGTCTAGCCTATAACTTCTACATAGATAATATGTGTAAGTTGACACACCCCCTAGGCTAGACAAGGGGTGAAACTAAACAAGAAGCAAACAGCTCAGGGCGGCACTACTAGTCCAACCACTGAGGCAGGGGTCTGGAGACCAGTCAGCAAGAATACAACCAAAACTGAAGCAAGCCAGGGTGGCACTACTAGTCCAGCCACTGGAGGTAAGGCCACAAGGCCAGTCTGACAAGCATATATAATAGAGAGTACACAATCAGGATCCTAACAGGGGAGCAGCTACAGGAACTAGACCAAGCTGTACACAGTGCCGCTGATGATCTTTAGGCGCAAGCGCCTTAGTAAAGATATCAGCTGTGTTGGCACCTGAGGCCAAGTGAACTACGCGGGCCTGGCGGCGCTGCTGTAGCTCGCGCAGGAGGAAGTACCGCAGCTGGATATGCTTCGCTCTGCCCTCAAGCCGAGGCTCCTGACACAGGAGTATCATGGCCCTGTTGTCAGCGTACAGGACCGAGGCAGAGCTAGGCCGCTCACCTAAGTCTGTGAGCAAGAAGGTCAGCCAGCGGAGCTCCTGTGCCGCCATGGCACCAGCGTAGATCTCAGCCTCACAGCTAGACTGAGCCACAGACGACGAGCGAGTGGATCTCCAAGAGATAGCACCCGAACCAAGGCTGAAACAGTAGCCCTGCGACGACCTGAGCGTCTCAGCGTCGTCTGCCCAAGAAGCGTCTGTGTGCCCAGTAAGGACCACTGGCCTGCGTCCTCCTAGCACTAACCCCATGCCTGATGTACTAGCAAGATAACGCAAAACCCTCTTAGCGGCAGACCAGTGCTGAGGTCGGTGTCTGCCTGTAGCCACAAAGCGAGCCAGGATGCTGAGAGGGTATGCGAGATCTGGGCGAGTGCAAGTCATCAGGTACATGAGGCAACCCACCAGCTCTGCGTAGGGGCCACTGGGCTCTACTGGCTCCTCAGGAATGGGAGCAGAGAGCCCATGGTCTACGGGTAGAGGTGTGGGTTGTGCAGAGGAGAACTGAAGACCGAACCTCTGAAGGACCTGACGCACCAAGTGTGACTGGGTCAGAGTGATGGTGCGTGCTGCTCTGTCCCTAGAGATCTGCAGGCCAAGATAGCGACGCAGCTCTCCAAGGTCAGTGCAGGTGTGTCTCTTCAGCAGCTCAGCCTTCACAGGGGCCAGTGCGTCCTTGTCAGGAGTAGCAAAGACCAGGTCGTCTACGTAGACAAGGATGTAGAACGGAGTCTGGCCGGAACGCACAAACAGTGAAGGGTCAGCAGAGGACGGAAAGAACTGCAGGTCTGCTAACGTGGCACGTAGCGTGTCGTGCCACTCGCGGGGAGCCTGACGCAGGCCGTAGACCGGGCGCCTGAGAAGCCACTGGGTCCCAGGAGGGAAGGTACCAGTGAAGCCCTGTGGTCGGCGCAGGTAGACCTGCTCGTGTAGGCTGCCCTGAAGAAAGGCAGTAGAGAAGTCGAGGGAGTGAAGCTCGTAGTCGCGCTGTGCTGCTACATGTAGCAGCGCCCGAAGAGTGGTCATCTTCGGGGTCGGGGCGAAGGTCTGGAAGAAGTCAACCCCCTCGCGCTGACTGAAACCTCTGGCCACGTAGCGCGCCTTGAAGACAGGCGGCTCTCCAGGGGGGCGCTTCACCTTGAAGAGCCACCGACCATCGACTACGTTCACCCCAGGCGGGGGAACTGCGTCGACGTAAGTGCCGGTGGACCTCCAAGATGCCATCTCCTGCTCCATGGCAGCTATCCACTGAGAGGCCCAAGGTCCCGAGGTGGCCTCAGCGTAGGTGCGAGGGGTCGGGATGTCGAAGGTGTCTGGGTCACCCTCAGGGACTAACAGCATGGAGCAGAGATGGGGAGCAGCCTCGGAAAGGAAAGCCAGCTCGTACTGCCTGTCCTCTAGGACGTCACTGCCAAGGGCAGGAGCACCCCCGACGGACGGAGGACGGGCAGGGTCAGAGACCAGAGCGGTAGCGTAGTCAAGGCGGCGGGTAGAGGCGAAGTCAGCGACAGCAGCGACAAGCGCGTCAAGGCGCGAGACAGGAACAGCAGGGTCGGTAACAAGAGAGGCAAGGACCCGAGGGACAAGGGGACGAGCAGCACGGAGGTAGTCAGAGAACGGAGGAGGTGCAACAGCAAGGGACGAGGGAGGAGGGGACGGGAGGAGGGGAGGACTAGACGAGCGGGAACGGAGCAACATAGGGTGGGAGGGCGGGACAGGAGAGACGGGACGAGCACGGGAGGGACGGCGAGCCCAAACGTGAGACGGAGGTGTAGGGTCAGGGGACAGCGGAGGAGACACAGGAGGGGAATGAGGAGGAAGACGGGCCGGAGACGAGTCCGGCGGCGGGAACACAGGACCGTAGACAGGAAGGTCAGCAGGCGGTGGGGGAGACACCGGCGCGCGGTCCGGGGAGGGAAGGCCGAGCAGGCGGAGAGCGGAGACCGGCGGCGACGGCTGCTGCGGCGGCGACGACGGCTGGGCCGGAACTCTCGGACCAGCAGAGGCAGAACGACCGTCGGCAGAACACTCAACAGCAGCACCCCCAGAACCAACACCCCCAGAGCGAGAACCCCCTCCAACACCAGCGGCACCCCCAGAAGCCGCAGGACGAACACCCTCCTCCACACTAGCACCCCCAGGGGCCAAGAGCGGCGGCGGCAGTGGCTGCGACGGCTGCGGCGGCCGCGACAGCGGCGACGGCGGCGGCAGCGGGGTCGGCGACTGCGACAGTGGGGGCGGAGGCACCGGGGAAGGGGGACGCGGCAAGGACGGACCGGGGGTACCACCAGAGTCAGCAGACTCCTCAACGGGGACAACCGACGGGAGGGGAGTGACGTGAGAGACACCAGACGGGGCAGGACGAGGCGGGAGAGGGGCAGGGGCTACTGGGGGAGAGGGAGCAAGGAACAGGGGGGGGGCAACTGGGAGACCTCGGTGAGGGAAGCGGCGGTAGAAGGAGACGGACTCGTCAAAGGTGACGTCACGAGAGTGCAGGAAGCGGTGAGACGGCGGGTGATAGAAGAGCCAGTCAGACGAGTCCAGGGGGAAACCGAGGAAGACACAGGGGACAGTGCGGGCAGTGAGCTTGTCCGTGCCAGAGGCACGAACGTGAGCAAGGCAGCCCCAGACGTGGAACGCAGACGCGTCACCGGGGGACCCGGTCCAAAGGAGGGTAGGCGAAACCTGCGGCCGCTGGGAGCATGGCCACAGGTTAAGCTGGTGAGCAGCGTAGCGAACAGCGAACGGCCACAGAAAATGGGGGGCATCGGCATGGATCATGGATGTACGGGCGACCTCCATGACCAAGCCGATGCGGCGCTCAGCAACTCCATTCTGCTGTGGCGAGTCCGGCAACGTGTACGACTGGGTGATGCCCTCCGCACGACAGAACTGTCCAAGCCGACCAGAGGCGAACTCGCCGCCACGGTCGGAGTGGAGACACAACACGGGGAGACCGCGGTGGAGACGCGCAGCCACAACCCACGGGAGAAGAACGTCGGGCACGTCGGCCTTCCGCTCAAGGGGAAACACCATGGTGTAGCGCGTGTAGTCGTCGACGAGCACAAGGAAGTAGCGCTCACCGCGCGGTCCGGGGACGGGGGCAGGGCCCCAAACGTCCAGGTGCAGGGTCTGAAGGGGGGCAGTAGCAGGACGCAGCGAGGAGGAGTGAGGAGCACGGCGGAGCCGACCCTCGACGCAAGGCGTGCACGTTGGCGCAGTCGAGGGTGGGAGGGCAGGGAGCGACGCGGGGAGGCCTAAGACAAGACCGTGCTGAGACATGTGACGCAGACGTGGGAGAGCAGGGTGACCTAAGCGGTGGTGCCAGAGAAGGGACGGGTGAGTGAGGGACCGACACGAGCAAGCTGCAGCGACCTGGGAGGACGCACCAACCGGGGGGGAAGCGGTGTCGAGGGTAAACAGACCAGACACCGGGTCCCGAGGGAACGTCGCAAGAGGGGAACCTGAGACTGCCTCGGTACAGACAGCGAACAGCTCGTGCCCAGGGAACGTGGTGGTGGCGCCGAGGTCCTGAAGACGGCCGACACCAACCAGGTTCCTGGAGAACGAGGGAACGTGGAAGCCTGTAAGAGAGCCCGAGGGAACGGCTGGACAGGGAAGGGAAGTGGAACTGCGAGCGACGACAGGACCGGCAGAGGGGTCAGCGAGGGAGACAACCGCAGGTGCAGCAAGCGGCGTGAGCGTGGACCGGTCACGGAAGAAACAGGCAGAAGCACCGGAGTCGAGCGTGAAGGACAGCGAGGCAGTGGCAGAGGCCGGGGACGGGGCGGGTGCAGAAGCTAGGCTAGGCAACCTAGGCAGTCCTACGCCTGACGCAGCAGGGGAAGCTAAGCTACACAAGGGTGAAACACCTAAACTAGAGTACACAGGGTAGTAAGATCCAGCAACACTAGAAGCGTCAGCATACAAAGCGTGCAAAGCAGCACCTATCTGATCCATGTCTAACTCAAAGATCGGCACGCCCTGGCGGAGCAGGCTGTGCCAGTCAGGGAGGTCCGGGGCCGGGCCAAAGCGACGACGAAAAAGATCGTCGAGGCGGCGGAAACAGCGGGCGGTCGGGTGCGGGCGGCGGCACAGAGTGCCGCGGAGAGACCCTGTCTGAAGCTGGTACTGGCAGGTCA